CCAGTACTAAGAAAAGATGTCCTTGAGTTGGAAAAAGTCCAGCGGAGGGCAACCCAACCAAACTAATTAGGGGTATGGAGGACCAGAGCTACGAGGCTACTAAATTTAAACATGTTTACATTGGAGGTGAGGAGATTAAGGGGGGATATGATCTCCATGTACAAAATGTTCAATGGTGGTAGCAACATTAGCGATAAACTGTTTAAAATTAACTCCATTACAAAAACTAGAGGCCACCACCTGAAATTGGTGGAAAAATAATTCCAGCACAAGGGGCGAAGGGGGTTCTTCACAGTAAGATCAGTTAGGGTCTGAAACTCACTGCCACAGGCGGTGATTTCAGCAAATAATGTGGAATTGTTCAAGAAACTTTTGGACGATTTCTTAAGGGACCGTAATATACAGGGGTACAGGTACTCCTAGAATGAGATCCTAATAGGTTGGACTTGATGGACTAATGTCTTTATTCAACCTCAAATACTATGTAACTGTGTACAGAGCGCCTCCAGGTTGCTATATTGCATTTAATTTTTTTGACAATCTTAGAAAATAAAAACAACTGCAGTTGTAAATGGAACTGAATTTTCATATTACATTACAAAATGGCTTCTGCAGCAATTATATACTATATTCATTTTTTAATTAATTTTTTCATTTTAATTTTTTTTAAGGTGGAACTTGCTAAAGCTTGTTTAAAATTACAGTCTTAATGGAAGTCTGCATTTCCATTAAGATCTGTGTTTGGCATTCCCAATTGCAAATCTTTTGCATAAACTCGTTGAAAGCTTTGCAAAAGCTTGCTGTGCACACTGCTCTTATATGGGCGGAAGCCTATGTGAACAAGGGCTAAACAGTATGTGCAATCAGGAAAAAAGATAGGACAATTAGATTAGTTGTCATAAGCAGCCACAACATTAATTTCTTCATATACTTTGATACAAAAAGCTTGTATGCCTTTAATAACTTGAACTAAATTCAAAAAATTCTAATATATTTCTGTCTGAAACTGATAATCATATAATCAAGTGATTTTGTATTTCTTTCGCAGTACTGGCCCCGGTGATATTCCTTGCTCTGTCTCTGAATGGGTTTGGAGGTATCTGTTTGACCTTTACATCTTTAACAGTAAGTGATCTATATGTCCAGTATATTTCCATATGTTATATTCTTGTTTGCATTTGCATGTGGGAGTAATTGTAATGTCTACATTCACTCTAGTAGTCATACACTCAAATTGCACTGCAAAAAGAAAAACATCCAACACAAAAGACATGTGTTCTTACTTGTACACAATTTACTATTCTTCTTGGTGTGCTTTGAGTATTTCTTCCAGATCTGTGCAATAAGCTAGTGTGAAACTTGACCTCTATGTAGGAGCTTCCTGTGATATAGATCAGTCAATGCTGCTCTCGCTCCTTGTACAGAGTGACTGGTTTTGTAGCAGCCCCCCTCCTGTAGTTTTATGCAGGCAGCCTGTATTGAGTGGAGCCTGCTGGGTCCCTCCTACAGCTCTGCTCTCTGCACAGGCTATGTGCAGCAGAGTGATGATGTCATTGCTACTTTAAAAAGGTAATATCTGGGTTTAACAAGGCATTTGGCACAAAGATAATTTATATCCTTTGCTTACATTGTGGAATATATCTAAATGAATGATTTTGTGCCCAGAGTTCAGCTTTAAACTTTCCACATTACTCAGTGGTAGATGCTACTCAGGGCCACCGTTAGGGGGGTACCGCCGATACTCATGTAAGGGGCCTGCCCAGGACCCTTACATGAGTATCGGCCGCCGGTGACAAGCGAGCAGTGCCGGCGCTAGTGTAGAAGCAACACAAGCAGCCGGTAGGGAGGGCGAAAAAATTGGAACACAGACCCAGCAGACAAACGGCCTGAGATAGATCAGAGTGAAAGAGCTCTGTCCAGTGTTATGTCAGGGCCGCTGACTTTTGAGCTGCTGAGGTCGCACTGTGTTATTTGTCAGCTCTGCAATGTCCCGTCGCCAGTGCACCTCATAGTAAGTCCTCCTGGCTGTATAGAGGATTGTTTTTTTCTGTCTCAGATCCCTCTCTGCCTCGAGTCGGGGGAGGGGGGGGGGGGTTCAGGTAGTGTGTGTCTCAGCACAGTGCCAATATACAGGAGAAAAGATGTATATTCAACACAGCGCCTCAATCATATACTGCTCTGTAGTATACATGAAACACACATAACATTACTAGAAAATATTTCTACTATTTCTACACCATCAATCACCATTTCTATATCTCACAGCACTCACAAATGCTGCATTTATGCCGCATAATCCTGTCCACAGACATTTAATTTTACACAACTATACTACAACATTTTATTTAGGAATAAAAAATGCTTCACTTGTAACTTTATTATTCTCTCTACAACATCCACGCCTATAAAAAAAAAACCCAGCACAATATGACAATTTGCCCATCATAATGCCACAGTGCATTCCATATCCACTAAACCACGTTCAAAGAAAATACATTTTCAACGTTCACACCATCCACCTTCCTTCACCACTTAATTGTACCCTCCCTACGCAGTGTAATTGCCCGCAGTGTAATGCATGCTACCACAATGTAACTGAGTTCCACTGAGGTGCAATTGCATGCACTTTTTTCTAATTGCACAACATCAATGCACTGCCCTCCTGTCACCCTGCACAGCCCTCTGCACAGCCCTCTGCACAGCCCCCCTGACACCCCGCACAGCCCTCCACACAGCCCTCCTGACAGCCCTCCTGACACCCCGCACAGCCCTCCTGACACCCCGCACAGTCCACCCATAGACCCCCTGACATCCTGCACAACCCTCCTGAGGCTCCACAAAGCTCTCTTGACACCACACAGTTCTCCTGAGACCCTGCACATCCCTTCTGAGATCCTGCACAGCCCTCCTGAGAACCAGCACAGCCCTCCTGAGACCCTACACAGTCCTCCTGAGACTCTACACAGCCCTCCTGAGACCCTACACAGCCCTCCTGAGACCCTACACAGCCCTCCTGAGACCCTACACAGCCTTCTGCACAGACCTTCTACTGTAGACATCAGACCGTCATCCCGAAGCAGCACAGAGTATGTCGTTTTGTATTATTCTGCATTGCTGTATGATTTATTGCTGTGGTTTGTAGTCCTTTACAGCTGATGGTATAATAATAATAGCTTCAGCAATAGAGGACTAAAAATCCCAGCAATACATTATAAAGCAATGCTGAATGGCAACCAGCTATAGAGGACTACAGATTCCGGCAATACATTATACCGAAATGCAGAATAATACTATTATTCAGCACTGCTGTATAATGTATTGCTGGAATTTTTAGTCCTCTATAGCTGGTTGCCATTCGACATTGCTTTATAATGTATTGCTGGGATTTGTAGTCTTCTCTACCCGGTTGCCATTCAGCATTGTTGTACATTATATTGTCAGAATTTGTAGTCCTCAATAGCTGATGGCATTGTTCTGCATTGCTGTATAATGTATTGCTGAGATTTGGAGTCAGTGGTAGAACTACCAGGGTACCAAAGGTTGCAGCTGGGAATGAGCCCTTGCGCTCCACCACTGTCCTAAAATCATTGGTCTGTATTCTCTTAGAAAAACTGTCACGACACTAAAAAAAAAAAAGGTATCGGTAATTGGTATCGGTGAGTACTTGAAGAAAAGTATTGGTACTCGTACTTGACCTGTCAAAAATTGTATTGGTGCATCCCTGCTACCGTCCATGCCTGTACCGAGGTACAAACATCAAGTATTGTGGACGGGAGGCAGAGTTAAAGGACTACAAGTGCGGTGATGTTATCACACTTGTATTACTCCGAAACTACAAGCCCCTCTGTCACAATAGCAGAGAGGGCTTGTAGATTGATGTTGTGGCTGTGCATGACTCCGCCCAACATTAAAAAAACAGCAGCCTGCTGGGAGAAGAACCCAGAGATTCAAGTAAGTGGGGGGTTGCATTCTGACCATGTTTCATGTTACACCTTAAATATGGGTGTAACATAAAACATGGCCAGAAAAGTGAACTTAGCCTTTAAAGTGCAATCTGCTCCTAGTGTTCCTCCAGGTTTTGGGGTAGACTGAGCAATGTGGTCAGGGCCGGCGGGCGCTAGTGTAAGGCTGCATAGCCAGCTGTCTGAGGGCACCGGGCCGGGGGGGGGCGCAAAAATGCATCTTCGCCTGTGTAGGCAAAAATCCTTGCACCGGCCCTGCAAGCGAGGAGGCGGCTGGGCCCCCGCAGCGCAGGAGGAGGCCGGCCCTAGCAGTGCCAGGCCCCAGCATTACCTATTCAGGCATTGGAGCAGGCCGGGGCCCCATTGGCACAGCTTTTCATCTGATCTCTGACCGCCAGAAGTGAGGTGATGTCAGGCGGCAGAGGAGGCCAGGTGAGCAGGTAAGAGGAGCTGGGAAGGAGGGAGATGCAGCCCTGTCCAGCCTATCTGAGACCCCTGCAGAGCCCACCATAGAGAGCATCAGATAGGCTGTGAAGCATCTATGGTGGGCTCTGCAGGATCACTCTCAGGTATGTGTGGGGTCTCAGGTGGGTCCTGCGTCCAGCGCGTCATTAAGCCCTGCGTCCAGCGAGTCACTAAGCCCAGAGTCCAGTGGGTCACTAATCCCTGCGTCCAGCGGGTCACTAATCCCTGCGTCCAGCGGGTCACTAATCCCTGCGTCCAGCGGGTCACTAATCCCTGCGTCCAGCGGGTCACTAATCCCTGCGTCCAGCGGGTCACTAATCCCTGCGTCCAGCGGGCCACTAATCCCTACGTCCAGTGGGTCACTAATCCCTGCGTCCAGCGGGTCATGAAGCCCTGCGTCCAGCGGGTAATGTGACTGTGGGGGGGACATTAGAGTATAAGCTCCTCTGTACAGAGACTGATGTGACTGGGGGGGGCACACACATTAGAGTGTAATCTTCTCTGTACAGCACGTTTCCATTCGGAGACAGTCCGCCATCACCAAACATTCGTGCTGATTCAGTGCGTTGTTCTGCACCATCTGATGATGTGGGTCTTGGTGCCAAAGCTCCAGTGCATTCGGCTTGTGTAGGGCCTGAAGTAGCAGATTCCTCCATCTGCATCACACCTGCTTCCTCAGAGGCATTGGTGTTTACACGCACAGTCTTCACACCAGGCACAACTTCTTTATCGTGTGTTAGATTGACCCAGAGTCTGAGTATAAATAGTGTGGTATTGAAAGTGAGACCAGCGATCCCCCTGAAGACGTCTTTTTATGATGAAACGCGTCGGGGCGGGGCTACACTTGTTCGATACCACACATACCAGGAAGTCTTGAAGCTTTCACTCACAATACGTGAGCGGCCGATTTTACGGATTTTAACTGTAAGTGGCTACTTTGTTTGTTTAATAAAACGTTGATTTTACTACACCATGAGGAGTTCTTGTCCCTTTTATATTTTCGTGGTGAAATATTGATCCGGGGGATGAGTACTGGACGGCTGTAGGAGTACAAACGGTCATCTTTCTCTGCTTACAATTACTTTGATCTGGTGAGTGTGCATCCCAGAGGGGACTTAGATGTGGACACTTGGATGTGGGATTTGGTAGACACACTGAAAATTCCCAATCTTTTTTGGATTCACGTTTAATTATTAATTTATGGATTTTTGAACTCACTTTACATCACCTGCGGATTCACTTCTACATCACTTTAACTGATATATTTGAGATTGTTTTCACTTTTTATATGTTTATATGTTTTATACATTGTCACTTATCTGATACATCACTGTTTAGCAATATATGTGATTTAAGTAACACATTTTGGCACAAGTGGAGATTTATGTTCACGATTTTGATGTTTATATAATTTTTGCCAACACTAATTTAATTCACTTATTAATGACCCGAGCGCTGCACACTTAGCTATATACAACTTCTTTATCATTTAGCATTTTCTGCTGTGTAAAGACCACATTTTCCTTTACAAGCGTTGTAACGGCCTTAGGAACAGAGTCGTCCTCCCCCTCTGAAAAGGCTTCATCAAACTTGAAATTTCTGCCATGAAGGGGGGACTCCAGCTCCCAAATCACCATCCATTCCTTCCACTTGCACCTCAGACACCTCTTGGGACTGACCTTGTGGTGGTAATTTGTC